CTGAGGAAATAAACTTCCTTTCCCCTACTCTCTTCTAAAAGGCTGCTTTAGGAAACTCTTTAACTATGGCTCACAATTCAGCCTTAGTCCAGGAACATAAGAAATCTGTGGTTTATTTCAAGCCTCAGAAGGCTTAAATTTAAAGAGGCAGGTTTTAATAGGTTCAAGAGAGGAGCAAGTGGGGAGAGATTTGGAGGAAAAAGGAAGTTCAGCAGAGAGAATAGAGGAAAATGGCACTGAGGGTGGGGCCTGAGCACAAAGTAGCTGCCACATATCTGCAGACAAGGAGGACAGGAGAGGAGGGAAAGAGGCATCAAAAGCCATTCTGAGGGATGCCTGGGTTGCTCAGTTGGTTAAGCAACTGCCTTCAGCTCAGGTCATGATCCCAGAGTGCTGGGATGGAGCCCTGCATCAGGCTCCTTGCTCAGTGGGGAGCCTGCTTCTCCCTCTGCCTGCCACTCCCCCTGCTTGTGCTCTCTATCTGACAAATAAATAAATAAAATCTTTTTTAAAAAAAAAAGCCATTTGACTTCTTTCAATTGTTTGTCTCCATTAATTTAGAAATAGTATTTTGCAAAGAGGCAAACTTAGAATCCTGAAAACATTTGGAAGCCTCAAGGTACCATCTACAATAGGCATGCTATTCAGGTTTTTTTTTTCCCTAGGAGCCACAGCCTTCTAATTTAATTTTTAGTAAAACAAGTTTGGAAAGATTGAAAGTTCCCCATAATAGTCATTAAGGTTCTAAATTACTTTTGGTTAAGTCATTCCATTTAGTTATAAACACTCATGTGGATGGGACCACAGATTTTAAACATAAAATCAGTGGAGTCCCTCAGGAAAGGAAGTTTGCCCCCAAAGCATTTTGATGACTAGGATCCCATTTCTTAGGTTTTTCTCTAGACCAAAAAGAAAATTTCTTGGGGTGCCTGGGTGGCTCAGTTATTAAGCGTCTGCCTTTGGCTCAGGTCATGATCCCAGGGTCCTGGGATCGAGCCCCACATCGGGCTCCCTGCTTGGTGGGAAGCCTGCTTCTACCTCTTCCACTCCCCCTGCTTTTGTTTCGTCTCTCGCTGAGCCTCTCTCTGCCAAATAAATAAATAAAATCTTAAAAAAAAAAAAAAAGAAAAGAAATTTTCTTAAACAGCACAGCCAGGGAATGGAATAGACTTGTTCCAGAAGGAATCAGACCAAAGGCCAGCACAATTTCAGCAGAAACCAAAAAAGAGTCTCAGACTGAAGGCCAAACAAGTATTCTTGGGGGCGGGGAGTGGGTAGTTCTTTAAACAGATCCTGAATAAAGCTTGGAGAGCTTGAATACAAAGAGTGGAGCTCAAAATGTAGGAGAAAATTATCCTCAAACTCCAGGGTCAGAGAGAAAGCAATGAGCCCAGTTGGTTCTATGAGTACTTGCACCTGTTTGCTCACAAGCCTCGATCCTCCTTGACACTTGGATCTTCTCTGGATCCCACTTC